AATGCTTTTTCCGCATCTATCGAGATGATCATATGGTTCTTATTTTTAAGTCTATTGATGTGGTGAATAACATTTATTGATTTCCGTATATTGAACCAGCCTTGCATCCCAGGGATGAATCCTACTTGATCATGGTGCACGATCTTTTTGATGTGTTTTTGTATCCGACAATACCTTTATTTCACTCATTCATTTTTTACGTGGTACTGAGAATCGAACCCAGGGTCCTGCACACACGAGACGAGTGCTCTACCGCTGAGCCACAACCCCAGCCCCAAGTTAATCAATATTTAATAAATGACTAAACATGCAGGATTTTTCAAAATCACACATAGATAAATAATGCATTTTAAAGTATAAGACCAATGTTTGAGCATAGTGATGCAGGCCTGTAATTCCAGTGACTTAGGAGACTTGAGGCAGAAGGATTGCAAATTTGAGGCCAGCCTTGGCAACATAGTGAGACTGTGTCTCAAAATAAAAATTAAAAAGATTGGGGATGTAGCTTTGAGGGAGAACACCTGTGGGTTCAATATCCCATATCAAAAAAAAAAGACCAATGGATTTTAATGTGAGAGAGTCTGAAAAGTTTATTCATAGTGGTTCCTTTATTCCATATTGAAACCAAATTTTCAGATACTATTACATGTTGAGTTTTGGTATACATGTTGTTTTAGTTAGTTTTTTCACTGCTGTGACCAAAATACCTGACAAGAACAATTAGAGGAAGAAAAGTTTATTTGGGGCCTCATAGTTTCAGAGGTCTCTGTTTATAGATGGCCCATTCTATTCCTCAGGGCCTGAGATGAGGCACAACATCATAGCAGATGATTATGGTGGAGGAAAGCAGCTCAGGACCTCACACCAGGAAGCAGAGAGAAACTCAATTCACCAGATAAGAAAAATGTACCTCAAAAGAAGACCCCCAATGACCCACTTCCTCTAGCCACACTCTACCTGCGTTCACTTACCACTTAGTTAATCCCCTAATCAATTCAGCTTTAAACACTTGCATTGTGTCATATGTGAGCTTTTGGGGGATATCTCACATCTAAACTATAACACATACAGTATCAGAGAAGAATACCCAGTTGTCTGAAAAGGCTTTTAGGGATTGAACCCAAGGGCATATAAGTACTGAGCCATATTCCCATCTCCATCCCCTTTTATTTATTGATTGATTGATTGAGACAAGGTCTCACTAAGTTGCTTAGAGCCTCACTAAATTACTAAGGGCTTCCCTATTTTGCTGATATTGGCCTCAAACTTGTGATCCTCCTGCCTCAACCTCTTGAGTCATTAGGATAACAGGCATGTGCAGCTGAAAAGTCTTTAAAAATATTTCTACACCCAGCTGAAAAGTCTTATAATTTCTCTTTCCAATTTTTATCTATGTGGGGCCAGAGTTCTTTATGTATCTGAACCMAAACAGCATATTATACCAAACCGAATGCAGAAACAAATATGAGAATCTACCTGTCTTTTATTTAGACAGACATTAAAGAGATTTGCAAAAATGTAAATCATTCTCATGTAAATCATTTTGGAAAGTATAGTAAATTTTTATTAAAAAGTATTATTTATGTTAACATAAAATAGATATATTATTTTAATGGTTAACAAATATTTTTAAATTTCTTAATTTTAACTAATAATAAGATAAACAGATATAGTTCATATAAACAAAAGCTCTTTGGGTTCTTAATTTTTAAGAGTATAGGGCTGGGGATGTGGCTCAAGCGGTAGCGCGCTCACCTGGCATGCGTGCGGCCCAGGTTCGATCCTCAGCACCGCATACAAACAAAGATGTTGTGTCCGCAGAGAACTAAAAAATAAATATTAAAATTCTCTCTTTCTCTCTCTCTCTCTGTTTAAAATAAAAAATTCTCTCTCTCTCCCTCTGTATCTCTTAAAAAAAAAAAAAACCAGGCTCCTTGCTGAGGACAACAGGGCCTTGTTGTACCTTCATGCAGTCACCGGAGCCCACCWCTTGCAGGATAAAGCCCAAGTTCACAGCTGCTTGTTCAAAGGCCCTTTGACCTCTGAGGAGCCTTCCTTCTTGGCCACCTTTCCTGCTTTCCTCACCTCATTAAAAAAAAAAAAAATAAGAGTATAAAATGATACTGAGATCAAAAAGTTTGAGAAATGCTCGTTTAAAATATGTTTATGCCTAGGAGAGTAGCTCAGTGATAGAGTGCTTGCCTAGCATGGGTTTGATATACAGCACAGAAAAAAGTTTACAATTTTTGTGTTATTTAATTATAGGGAATTGATCCATTTTCCTTAGATGTTCTTGCAAAACATGGAATAGTAGCTCTTCGTAGAGCCAAAAGAAGAAATATGGAAAGGTAAGCTTGTGCATTGTACATCTCAACTTCTTTAAACAAACTGAAGTTATTCCATGTTTAATCCTTTTAGTTTATAAGTAAACATTGTTGAACAAAATAGTAGTGCATGAATTCCAAATTTTGTTCTTAATTCTAATAAACAGTTGAAATTGTAAAATTAGGGTCAAGTACAAGGAAGGTTTTCATATTTTTAAGAAAGATTTTAAAAACAATGCAATGTAATGGGATGTGATCTCACTTACATGTGGAGTCTAATAATGTTGCAGTCATAGAAGTAGAGAGAAAATAGTAACAAAGGCACACACCTGTAATCCTAGCAACTCAGGAGTTTAAAGTAGAAGAATTTCAAGTTCGAGGCCAATCTCAGCGACTTAGTGAGGTCTTAAGCAACTTAGTGAGACCTGTTTCAAAATAAAGAATTGAAAGGGCTGGGGATGGTAACTCAGTGATAAAGCACCACCCCTGGATTAAATCCCCAGTATGGTAGGGTGGGGTAGATAGAAGAATGGTAGTTTACCAGAGGCTGGGAAGTTTGGGGGTTTAGAAGATATAGGTCAAAGTATACAAATTTCTGTTAGGAAGAATAAATTCAAGGATCTTGTACAACATAGTGACTGTAGTTAATAATATACGTATTATTGAAAATGCTAAGACTAGATTTTTAAGTGTTGTCACCATAAAATGATAACTATGAAAGTTAATGCATCTGTTAATTAGCTAGATTTAGCCATTTTGCTGTGTGTATGTGTATAAAATTTCAAAATATCATGTTGTATGTTTTAAATACATTTATTTGTCAACTAAAAAGTAAAAAACTGCCCCAAATAATATAACACAGCAACTATATAGTCTTCTATGTTAGAACCTTTCATCTTTAAGAAGTTAGCCTTTATGTTTTCCATAACCAAAACTATGTAATTTCAGACTCTCTCTTGCTTGTGGTGGAGTGGCTGTGAATTCTCTTGAAGACCTAAATGCAGAATGCTTGGGACATGCTGGTCTTGTATATGAGTACACACTAGTGAGTATTTTTGTGAATAATTGTTATAGGGCTGGGGTTGTAGCTCAATGGTGGAGCGCTTGCCTAGCATGTGTGAGGCACTGGGTTCAATCCTCAGCACCAATAAATAAGTAAAATAAAGGTATTGTGTCCATCTACCACTAAAATAATATTTAAAAATAGTTGTTATAAAGTGAATACTAAGGGCTGGGGATGTGGCTCAAGCTGTAGCGCGCTCGCCTGGCATGACCCGGGTTCGATCCTCAGCACCACATACCAACAAAGATGTTGTGTCTGCCGAGAACTAAAAAATAAATATTAAAAATTCTCTTTCTCTCTCCTCTCTCACTCTCTCTTTAAAAAAAAATAAAGTGAATACTAAGCCTTTTTAAAAAATACTAACTTTTTAATTCATATTTTGCATTTTGAAATCTGACGATTCCATAGGACAGACTTTGCAGTTTATTTACCTAAATATTTTTAAGAGTTTAAATACAATTTATTTATTTATTTATTTTTTTTGGGGGGGTACTGTGAATTAAACTCAGGGGTACTCGACCACTGAACCACATTCCCAGCCCTGTTTTGTATTTTATTTAGAGATAGGTTCTCACACAGTTGTTTAGTGCCTCGCAGTTGCTAAGACTGGCTTTGAACTTGCGGTTCTCCTGTCTCAGCCTCCAAGCTCCTGGGATTACAGGCGTGTGCCACCGTGCTCAGCCACAACTYACTTTTAAATATATTTTTAGTTATGCTTAAGAAAAATTCACATGAAGAATAGATTCTAATATAAAATAAGTCTTGATTTCATAGTGACATTGAATATTAAAGTTATATCTGTGTGTGTGTCAGGGGGAGGGGGGGTGCTGAGGATGGAACCTAGGGTCTCACACATGCTCCACAAGCATTCTACCCCTGAGCTACATCCCCAGCCTGAAATTCTGTGTCATTCTTTAGGGTGAAGAAAAGTTCACTTTTATTGAGGACTGTGTTAACCCTCGCTCTGTCACCTTGTTGGTCAAAGGACCAAATAAGCATACTCTTACACAAATCAAGGATGCCCTAAGAGATGGACTTCGTGCTGTCAAAAATGCCATTGAAGATGGTAAGGTCTTTTTGTGATGGATATGGACCTCACATATTTTTTAATTAGTAGTAAATCTGTCATGATATATGTGGTATTTTAAAAGAAAAGAGTTGTTACTATTTTTTCATTTCACTTTGGAAATTGTTTGGGTTGTAAATATTTTTACAATTTTTACAATATTTTTGTGTTGTTTGGGTTGTAAATATTTTTCCTGCTGGGCACAGTGGTGCATGCCTGTAATCCCAGCAGCTCAGGAGGCTGAGGCAGGAGGATCTTGAGTTCAAAGCCAGCCTCAGCAAAAGTGAGGTGCTAAGCCACTCAGTGAGACCCTGTCTCTAAAAAAAAATACAAAATAGGGCTGGGGATGTGRCTCAGTGGTTGAGTGCCCCTGAGTTCAATCCCCAGTATGCAACGCCCCCCCAAAAAAAACCCACAGATTTTTCCTTTGAAATATTCTTAATATTCTGCTGTCCTCCCTAATTAGTTTATGAAATGAAAAAGTACTTGACTTAATGATATAATGTMACTATTTTTAGAAGTCTAATTGTATTTTATTAATTTTTTTGTAGTTATAGCTGGAAAGTATGCCTTTATTTATTTTTATGTGATGCTGAGAATCAAACCCAGTGCCTCACACATGCTAGGCAAGTGCTCTGCCACTGACCTACAGCCCCAGCCTTAGAAGTTTATTTTTAAAAGCATGAAAATTTTTATAGTTAGAATTCATTCTGTTACTTCAGATGTGGTATTATTTTATGAAAAAATTAGGAAGGAATATTAGCATTTATTATTTATTAATAATTTATAACCAACTTTCTTCTGAAAAGGATTTGGGGTAGATAACTTTATTTAAAGTAGGATGATAGGCACATGAAAAGATGTTCAACATCACCAGTCATTAGGGAGATGAAAATCAAAACCACAAAGAGGTACTCTTTCTCAACCTCTAAGATGGGTATAATAAAAAAGCTGGACAAGATTGTGTTGACAGAATGTAGAGAAACTGGAAACTGAATGCATTGCTAATGGAAAGTGTTGGAAGATATGTAGTTCCTCAAAAAACTAAACATGTAGTTACTGACCGAACAAGTCTTAGGGATATATGAAAACATGTTCACACAAAAACTCCCACACAAATGTTCATGGCAGAATTATTCAAAATAGCTAAACATGGAAACAATCCAAATGTGCATTGGCTGATAAATGAATAAAAAATGTGGTAATTTCATGATAAGAGTATTATAAAGTACTGATATATATTACAACATGGATGAACCTTGAAAACATTGCTAGGTCAAAGAATCCAGATACAAAAGTCCTCCTATATGCTTTCATTTATGTGAAATGTCCAAGAAAGACAAATGCATATAGACAAAAAGGAGATTAATGATTGCTAAGGACTGGAAAGGGGAGAAGAGTGATTGCTAATGGGCACAGGGATTTTTTTTGGGGGGGGAGGGATGCTGCAATGTTCTGAAATTAGTGGTGATGATTGCAGTCTTTTTTTTTTTTTAAATATTTTTTAGTTGTCAATGGACCTTTATTTTATTTATTTATATGTGGTGCTGAGAAACGAACCCAGTACCTCACACATGCTAGGCAAATGCTTTACCATTGAGCCACCACCCCAGCCTGATTGCAATGTCATATATATATATATATATATTTTTTTTTTTTTTTTTTTTTTTTTTTGGCACCAGGGATTGAACTCAAGGGCACTTAACCACTGAGCCACACCCCCAGCCCTTTTTTTGTATTTTATTTAGAGACAGGGTCTCACTGAGTTGCTTTGGGCCTTGCTAAGTTGGTGAGGCTGTGATCTTCTGCCTCAGCTTACTATGCCGCTGGGATTTAGGCATGCGCCACCACGCCCGGCAATATATTTTTTAAAATACTGAAAAGTACACTCTAAGAGGTTGAATTTTATGGCATGTAAGAAAGATAAGAAACATAAATAATGGTTAGATTTGTTTGATAAGCAGAAACAGATATGAAATAATGTAAAATTAAAGTTTAAGTGGAAAGTTAGAACCTAGAGAAAAGAATATAAATAATAGCAAATATAATAATGTTAATATTTAACCACTATGAATCACTATTAATATTTAAGTTCCCAGAATATACATAGATTTCATTACTAAAAAAAGAGAAAATATATTAGTTCCTAATTGGAAATAATATAGGGCTTTATATATGGGTCACTGGCTGCTTTTTATAGTCAGAAAAATTTTGTTGCTATTTTGGGGATTGAACCTAGGGGCACTTTAGCACTGAGCTACATCTATAACCCTTTTTATTATTTTAGTTTAAGACAGGGTCTTACTAAGTTGCTCAGGCTGACTTCAAATGTGGAGATACTCCTGCTTTAGCCTCCCAAGTCACTAGGATTACAGGCATGCACCAGCATACCCAATTTTTGTAGTTACTTTTGATAGACTCTTGAAGCCTTTGGTAGTTACATTCAATTCTTAGAATTTAGAATACAGAATAATACAGACAGCAGAATACATCAGACACTAGAAAGGCAATATGTCAATCAATGGAAGGGTAACTGATGTGATACAGCAATCTGTATACGGGATAAAATTGGGAGTTCATAACTCATTTGAATCAAACTGTGAAATATGATGTATGAAGAACTATGTAATGTTTTGAACGACCAACAATAAAAAAAAAAAAAGAATACATAGATGGATGAATAAACTAGTATTTTTCTTTATCACTTCAACCACTTATTTTTTAAAGAATTTTATTAAGATATAATTGACATAAGGTATCGCACATATTTAAAGTGAACACCCCTGATCATCATCTCAACTGAGATAATAAACATATCCATCACCCCAAAAAGGTTCCTCAGTGCCTATTGATAATTCCTCCCTCTGCCTCTCCCCATGCCACCCCATCTCCAGGCATTCACTGGTCTGCTTTCTGTCATTACAGATGAATTTGCCTTCTGTAATACTTTATATGAATGCAATAATATAGTATGTTCTCTTGTTTTATTTATTTTTAAATTTTTTTTTTAGTTGTTGACAGACCTTTATTTTATTCATTTATTTATATGCGGTGCTGAGAATCTAACCCAGTGCCTTACATATGCAAGGCAGGTGCTCTACCATTGAGACACAACCCCAGCCCCTGTTCTTTTGTTTTATTATAGCTTCTGTTTTAAAATATTTTTTTAGATGTTGATGGGCCTTAATTTTATTCATTTATTTATATGCGGTGCTGAGAATCGAACCCAGTGCCTCACACATGCTAGGCAAATGATCTACCACTGAGCTATAACCCCAGCCCTTAGTATAACTTCTTTGATACTGATTAATTATTTTGAAATATTTTATCTTTCTGTAATTGATTCTGTTTTATTGTTAAATAGGATTCCTTTGTGTGAATATACTATAATTTATCCATTCACCTGTTAATGGAATTTAGTTAGTTCCAGTTCTTGGCTATTACAAATATAGCTGCGATGAATAAGTCTTTTACGGATATGTGTGTTCATTTTTCTTGGATAAATGCCTAGGAATCCAATGGCTATGATAGGTATTTATTTAATTTTTTAGAAATTGACAAACTGTTTTGTAACCTTTACATTACACCCATCATCATTGTATGAACATTCCTGTTATTCTCATCAATACTTGATATGATAGGCTGTTTTAGCCTTTTGAATATTAAGCAAACAAACAAATTAGGGTTTTAATGTGCATTTCCCAATGATTATTGATGTTGAACATCTTTTTATGTGCTTGTTATCCATGTATCCTTTATAAGGTTTCTGTTCTATTTTTTGTCCTTTTTGAAAATTAGATTGTTTTCTTATTGTTGAGTTTAAAAGTTCTTTTATGTTATAGATTCAAGTACTTTGTCAGATATATGATCTGTAGAGTTTTATCCTTCTCTTCCCATAGCTTGTTATTCTCTAAAGAGTGTGTTTCAAACGGAAGTTCTTAATTTTGAGGAGGTCTAAGATCAGTTTTCTTTCTTTCACAGATTATACTTGTGGTGTGGTATCTAAAAATATTTACCTAACCTAGGGTCACAAAATTTCTCTTATTTTTTTCTTTTTAAAGTGTTATTGTCTTAAGGTTTACATTTGGTCTTTGCTTACTTGCTTGCTTGATTTCTTTCTTTCTTTCATGGTGCTTCATGGGAGAGCAGCAYGTCACAGCCAAATACTTTTATTATAACATTAAATGACTAAAACTGCTTATTCTGTAAACATACCGGTTTTCTGTGTCTTCAGTTCATCTTAATCTATTTAGTTCCCAGCATCTTTTGAAAGCCTCTTTTGAATGTGGAGTTATTCATTTCAGAGAATAGCTCTGCTGCCTTCCTAATGGCAGTGGGGAAGGTGTTTAACAGACACTGCTTTGTAGCAGAGATCCGTGGCTGCCTTTCTTTTTTTTTTTAAAGAGAGAGTGAGAGAGGAGAGAGGGAGAGAGAGAGAGAGAGAGAGAGAGAGAGAGAGAGAATTTTTAATATTTATTTTTTAGTTCTCGGCGGACACAACATCTTTGTTGGTATGTGGTGCTGAGGATCGAACCCAGGCCGCACGCATGCCAGACGAGCGCGCTACCGCTTGAGCCACATCCCCAGCCCTGCCTTTCTTTTTTAAACATTTATTTTTTAGTTGTAGTTGGACACAATACCTTTATTTTATTTATTTATTGTTACAKGGTGCTAGGATGGAACCCAGGGCCTTGCATGTGCTAGGCGAGTGCTCTACCGCTGAGCCCGAACCCCAGCCCTCCATGGCTGCCTTTTGATGACAAATTGTCAGTCTTCATCAGGACTAAAATATTATCAATCAATCTATCTATCTATCGATCTATCCATCTATCTATGTCGGAGTGGCCTTCATTTCAGAGGTGTCAGTCCTAGGTGGCCAACTCCATTGCTGTGGGCCAGAGATGAGGCACAGCACATTGTGGTGGAAGGGTATGGTAGAGGAAAGCAGTTCAGGACACGACAATCAGGAAGCAATAGGTCTATGATTCATTTCAAGTTAATTTTTGTATATAGTTCAGGATATGGATCCATGCTCATTTTTTTCACGTATAAGTGTTAAATTGTTTTAGCCCCATTTCTTGAAAAGAACATGTTTCACCACAAGATTCCCTTTGCATCTTTATTAAAAATCAGTTGTCCAGCTGGGTGAGGTGATCTGTAATCCCAGTGACTGGGGAGGTTGAGGTAGGGGGATCTGGAGTTAGAGGCCTCAAAGTAAAAAAAAAAATACAAAAAGGCTTGGGATGTGGCTTAGTGGTTAAGTGCCACCCACATGAGGAACTTGTACACTTTTCCTACAGGTGATTATATCTAAGGATATTTGATCAAAGAAGAATATTCTGACCTCCAGGTACAGAGTAGTCGCCAAGAAACTTGGTTGCCATAGATTTGATCTCCAAAAATATTTTTAAACATTTTCCAAATCAACAAAATTTTAACAGTGGTTCATCTACTTAGGATGCCACCCCACTGCTGCCCCCCAAATCTGGCCACATCACCTATATTATGGATGTATTTTCACAAGACTAATAGTGAATTACTTTTATATTTGGTGTTAAACTCCTGAGAGGTGAGGATTGCCCACAGTTCCTCTGAATGTGAATTTCTTTGTTGTCCATAAAGAAATCCTTACCTGTGCCTCACTTATTGACTCATCCTGCCATTTTTTTCTGTGACAAATGTTAAGAGTATGGATGGCTCCAAGCTGAAGTATCCCTCTGGAGACAACAGTAGTTTGGGTTCTGCTCTAATGCAAAAAACAAATACTTCATTGAGTCTCAAGAATTTCAATCCCAAAACTCTGCCCAAAGTATCTTCGCCTAAAAAGTTTTCAAATCAGATATTATAATTACCTGCTACTATAAATTATGAATAGCTACCTTTTCCATGAAGTCATAGAAKAATAAGGTGAAAGTGAAAAAAAAATCTACAATTTATTTGCCAGAAAATAAAAAATGAAATTAGATGTTTATAGCCATTTATCTATACCATGCTTAATTATTATTTTTTAAAAATATTAGTTATTGATGGACCTTTATTTTATTTATTTATATATGGTGCTTAGAATCAAATCCAGTGCTCACCCATGCTAGACAAGTGCTCTACCAGTAAGCTACAACTCCAGCGCTACCCTGCTTAATTATTTAACCTCATAATGCTTTGTAGGACAACTAATTGCTCAGCTGTGTGATTTATTTGACTTCTATATAYACTTAAAAATATTGTAGGGGTAGGCAAGGTAATAGATCATGTTTGCATGGCTGATTGCGTTTTCCTCTTCCTCTCTTTTCCTATATGGTGTATCTTGCCAATCATTTTTTCCTTGGATAGGTTGTGTGGTTCCAGGGGCTGGTGCAGTTGAAGTGGCAATAGCTGAAGCTCTTGTTAAGCACAAGCACAGTGTAAAGGGAAGAGCTCGTCTTGGAGTCCAAGCTTTTGCTGATGCCTTACTCATTATTCCCAAGGTACAACCATTCTACTGGCCAAATAATAACTGGTTAGATCTAAAGATGTTTAATTGCATATTGTCCATACTGTTGAACAGTTAGCAGAGGAGAAAGACAGGTACTGATTTGTAAATCCTCACACAGTTTTATATATTTTACAACTCAAGCAGGGAAACTTTTGGGATAATAGCTCAGATCCTTTTAGGAGTTTCATGAAATAGCCTGATTATATTCTTGGTAGCTTTATCAGCCATTTGTTGGGGACCACCTTGACATGAACCTGTTTTGGAGTGCGGGTGTCTCTCTCTGTGTTACCACAGGTCATGGCTGTCCTCCTGAAGATGAGGGRCAAAAAGGGGCTGCAAATATGCTTTCTTTGGCAAGTGGCTAGGAGAAATTGAGGGACATGTGGCTAGCGGACTAGAGAAAGAATACTATTCTCATTTTTTCCACATTTAAAAGAATTTTTCAAGAAAGGAAATTAATGGGATGAGGGAACTCGAGTGTCCTCAGAATTTAGTATGAGGTGCATAGGGGAAATGCTTAAATAAATAAAAACACTACTAAATAGACAATATTTTGATGTAGTTTAAGGATGGAATTCTCCAAAAGGAAATGATTACTGTATTGTGGATATATTTTCAAAAGACTAATAGTGAATTACTTTTATATTTGGTGTTAAAATATATATGTAAAGGTATTTAACACATGTATTTATTATTATTTTTATTCATAAAGGTTCTGGCTCAGAATTCTGGTTATGACTTGCAGGAAACACTAGTAAAAATTCAGGCTGAGCATTCAGAATCAAAGCAACTGGTTGGCATAGATTTGAATACAGGTAAGAAACTGAAGAAAAATTAATTGCTTAATAAAGAAAGAAGATATTCTTCATTGATCCAGATCTTATAGTAAGGGTGGGTGTTTGGGTGAATTTATTACTTAAATATTGGATGCCTCTAGTTTACTTTTAKATCTCTTAAAACATCCAGAGTCATGAGGTTGTACTGTTTAAATCTAGGAAACTGGATGAGGTCACCTTGGGGGTAAGTGCAGAAAAAGAAGAGAAGAATAATGGATTGAACCTTTGAGTACTCCAACATTAAGAGCTCAGGGAAAAGGAACCATTAGTACAAAAGAAAGAAAAATAGGAGAGTGTGGTGTCCTGGAGGACAAAATACAAGAGGGTGTTATCAGCTGTGTTAAATTCTGCTGCTGGATGAGGCCTGGAAATTGACCACTGGATTTAACATCATGGAGGTCATTGATGACTCGGACAAAAGTAGTATTAAATATTGTTAGACTATACCAATCAACACTGATTGATTACAGCATAGTATTTAAATGTTTTATTTGAAGCTGGGGTTGTAGCTCGGTGGTAGAGTACTTGCATATCACTTGCCTATACTGAACCATGAGCAAGGCTCTGAGTTCAATCCCCAGCACTGTTTTTTTTAAAAAAGAATAATATATATATATATAGTGTGTGTGTGTGTGTATGTTTACTTTGCAGGGGAGTCAATGGTACCAGCAGATACAGGAGTTTGGGATAATTATTGTGTGAAAAAACAACTTCTTCACTCTTGGTAAGTTGGTAGTAACATAAAGAGAAGTATCATTAAGTGTATAATTGATAACATTAAAATATTTCTATTATTTTTGTGACCATACAGTGGAAAAATTGTCAAGCATTTGAGAAGGTATGACCCAGTTATTAAAACTAGCTTCTATAATTTTACATTCCCTTTTATATTTTGGTTGTAGCAGTATTAGCTGTAGGAAAGGTTAATCTCACTTTCTGAGGGGGAAAGGAAAGAGCAAACTTCTCTGAAATAGTACCATCTGCATTGTGTGGAAAATCAAACCATGTGCTTAACAATAAGCCTAGTTTTTCAGGAATATAAATCAGTCTTCCACCTTATCAGCGAAGGAGTTGAATTGTGATACAAAGCATGATTTGTATTTATAATAGCTTTGCCTTGTAAAATCTCACACTAACATAATTGAAGGAAAAAGTGCTTCATAGCTGCAGGTTTCTGGGGAAGGATAAGCACAGGGTAGAGGCTTTACTCACTCTCATCTCTTCCCTTAGCACAGTGATTGCCACCAACATTCTCCTGGTTGATGAAATTATGCGAGCTGGGATGTCTTCTCTCAAAGGGTGATGAAATGAAACCCAACTCTTCTGGAAGACAATTCAGGGCATCTGACATTCAACTGTTGTGGGACAGCATGGGCCATTCTTAATTTTTACAAAATAAATGTAGCTTATATATTATGGTTTAAATTGTCTCAAAGATCGTCAAGTTATAAAGAGCCCAAGAAATGTTTTCACAGTAAAAGGATATAATGGAAATATTATTTCAGAGTCCTAACTCCTTACTCTGTGTTTTGTAAGCTATTGCAATTTTTATAAAATAGAATTTATTATGATTGTTAGATATTTTGGGATAACTTTTAATTATTCAAATATGCAGCACAGGTTTTAGAATCTAAATAAATTCCCCATTTATCAGAGGGTATAAAGGTAGTAAGACAAACTGTTTTACTGTCTTGAAAGTCCTTCAGTAAATTCTTGTTGCCACTCTTTCCTTTTATAAATATAGCATCACTTTATGGATTGCATTGATTTACATTACCTGGTATTTATTTAATATCTTATATTTTACCTGGCTCTTTTGTGTATTTGATTTTATGGGTGATCAACAACTTAGGTTACTGTGGTAATTCAGATCTGAATATATAATGAAGTACTTTCACCTGAAAAGGTGGATATTGTTAGCATCAATTCTTTAAAATAATTGTTTTGGGCTTTGAATGCCACTATTTTTTGTTCTTTTTAGTTGTGCATGACAGTAGAATGTATTTTGACATATTACACATACATTGAGTATAATAACTTCCCATTCTTTTTTTAAGTTATTTTTTAGTTGTTCATGGACCTTTATTATTTATTTATTTATATGTGGTATTGAGAATCAAACCCAGTGTCTCACACATTCTAGGCAAGCGCTGTACCACTGAGCCACAACCTCAGCCCATAACTTCCCATTCTTGTAGTTGTACATGACGTGGAGTTACACTGATCATGTATTCATATATGAACATAGGAAAGTTATGTCTGATTCACTCTACTATCTTTCCTCCCATCCCCCTCCCTTCCCTTCATTCCCCTTATATAGGATTACAGTAATATTTTTCATGCTCCAATCTCGAGAATTAATCTATTATACTTTTTAATTGTTATTAAGTTCCTTTTGGTTAACTTTTCATGGGTCTAAGGGATTAAAATATGGTAGGYACATTAATGGATCTTTGATCTATTTGTGCATGTAGGTTTCCCCTAGTTTAACACCTATAATTTTATAGTCATTTTTTTTCACTTGAAATGTTGTCAATATCTTTCCAAGTCAATAATTACACTTCTGAACTGTCTTACGTGGCATTTCATTGTATGGTTTCACTTCAATTTATTTTGAAAATAAATCAAACAATATCCAATTTCTATTATAAATTTTATGTTTATAAATAATATAATTCTATTTTTAACTTTTTWWATTATAAACAAAGATCTCCTTTTTAAACCTTATGCCTTATTCTGTAGTATAGGACTTTTAAAATGGACATACCATGCATTTTGCTGGACCTTTTCTATGTAAAATGTTTAAATTAGGAAATATTTAAAATGTAGAAAAAGGAGAGCAAATAATAAACACTTTGTACCCTTTACCTAGCTTTAATCAATAGTAACATTTTGCCATGTTTGTTTTTGATTTTCTTTTTAAGAAATTGAAGTGTGAATGTTAATTAAAGCATCATCTTTAACCACTCATACCCCATCATTTGCTTTTCCTATCCTTTACCCCTAGAGATAATCTTTGACCCCTGTGCATTTTTTTTTGTTTTTAATATATGTGCAAATATCTGGGACAGTGTAAAATATTCTTTTTTGGCTTGAAAAGTGTAAGTAGTTATCCTGTAGATATGGTTTTGCTGCTTTTATTTTCCACTTAATTCCACTAGGGGTTAAACCCGGGGCACTCTACCACTGAGTTATATCCCCAGCTCTTTTTATTTTTAATTTTGAGACAAGGTCTCACTGAGTTGCTGAGGCTAGTTTGAACTCACAATCCTCCTGCTTCAGCCTCCCTAGTACCTGGGATTACAGGCATGTATGTGCCTGGCTTGTGTTTTCTTATTCAGTATTTTAGTTCCATTTTGTTTTTAAATTCCCTAAATTAGTCTTATAATAATAATTATTGTTTTATAAAGTCAGTTCCTATTGGGTTTTTCATGTTTATTAATTTCTTTGTTCAATAGTACCTTTCTTGCAACTATTTTCTTCTTTTTGGGCTCACTTTCTGCTTTTGTCAGCTTTTTCGCTGCTGTGACTAGAAAACCTGACAAGAACAATTTTAGCAGAGGACAAGTTTACTTGGGGGCTCATGGTTTCAGAGGTCTCAGTCCATAGACAGCCAGCCCCATTCCTTGGGGTTCAAGGTGCCGCAGGACATCAGGGAGGAACAGTGTAGTGGATGGAAACATGATGATCAGGAAGGGGGAGAGAAACTCCACTGAGCAGATAACAAAATGAATACCCCAGAGGCACGCCCCCCAGTGACCCACCTCCTCCAGCCATACCCTACCTGCCTTCCGTTACCACTCAGTTCATCCCCAATAGGGGTTAATTCACTGATTGGGTTAAGGCTCTCATAATCCAGTCATTTCTCCTCTAAATCCTCTTGCATTGTCTCACACATGAGCTCTTGGGGGAATCCTCACAACCAAAATATAACACTTTATTTTTCACTTTCTCTAGATATATACATTATATATCTTACATATATATGTAAGATAAATATTATTATAAAAAGATAACATAATATATAATATATATATTATATATACATATATATGATACACATATTTGTGTGTGTGTAAGTATATATATATATACTTACACACACACACACACACACACACACACATACATACACCCTCACGTATGTATCTTTAATCCTTCTTGTGTAGGTCTGTTTCCCTCAAAAAATTCTTTATTGTGCCTTACTATTTTCATTGCTAATTTACCTGCGCAGAGAATTCTGAGTTCTGTTGTTTTTTTCTCAGCACTTTTCAAAAATTAGTCCATTGTTTTCTTCACTCTCATTGGCAATTTATAAAGTATAGCACTTACTTTTACCCTTTTTTAAAAAAACTTCAGGTATTATAATTTCATCATCCACACTTGAGCATGGTGTAGACCTAGGGTTTCAATTTCATATAGCATCCCTGAGTAGAGCACATTTTCTGCTTTCGGTTCTTTTGAATATATGCCCACAAGTGGAATTGATGGATCATATGGTAATTTCTGTTTTTAATATTGGTGGGAATTATCACACATTTTACCCACCAGCAATATACAAGGATTCAATTTCTGTTCATCTCCACTGTTATCTTTTTTCTTTTAGCAAACATTTTTATTTATTTATTTTTTACTGGTACATATCACTTTATTTTTTCTTCTTTCTTTATATATGACAGAGGAATGCATTATGATTTTTATTATACATCTAGAGCACAATTTTTCATATCTCCTGTTGTATACGAAGTATATTCACACCAATTTATATCTTCATACCTGTACTTTGGATAATAATGATCATCACATCCAACCGCCATTAATTACCCCATGCCCCCTCCCTTCCCCTCCCACCCCTCTGCCCTATCTATCATCTATTCCTCCCATGCTCCCTCTCCCTAGCCCACTGTGAATCAGCCTCCTTATATCAAAGAAAACATTCGGCATTTGGATTTTTGGGATTGGCTAACTTTACTCAGCATTATCTTCTCTAACTGTTGTTATCTTTTGATAATGGCCACCTAAGAGGTGTGGAATGGTATCTCATTGTGGGTCATATATGTTCTCCAGCATTTTTGTTTGTAAATTAGGGCAAGGTAGAAAGTGGTCCACATTAGGAAGTCTGCAATGTGCTAGAACTGCCAGACCTATCTATGCAAATTGTTTGATTTTTCTGTCTTTTGGAGAGTATCCAACTTGTAAGTCCATAAAAATTTATGACAGTTCCCTTAAAAATAAAAAAGACTTTATCCTTAGATTGTTTCATAAATCTCCTRGTTTCAGTTAAAATGTCATGAACCAAAAATCGTTATCCCCCGTCTGCCATTCTCTTAACTGTTTGTTACCTTTTTTTTTTTAACAGTCCTTTCTGTAACAATAACTATTACTTTTCAGTCACTTTATTGGTGCCATCACTATTGCTTTATGTTTTGATCTTGTCTCATAGTCATATAACACTGCTCTCCTAGCCTCCCACAGTACCACTGCTATCCCAGGGGTTTGGCTCTTGAACATAATTCAGTTTAATATCTGTAGGTATTAAGGCCTCGTAACAATCCATTCACTCTTCCTTTACAGCTGCCTATATAATTGTCAAAGAGATCTAGGGAACAAGGATACAATCATTAAGGGCATCCCCAGTGACTCTCTTAATAGTCTTGCTTTSCTTATTCTATTCTAGATAGAGGTCTTTAGGATTACCAACGAGGAAATCAAATGCCCCATCAATTACATTTAATTTTCAATCATACCTTTCCTGGTCAGATGTTTGGCTATACAGATGGTCCCTTCCATAAAATGTTCAACCTAGGAGTTTTTGACTTTTAAGATTGTGTAAAAGTGAAATGCATTCAGTAGCAACAGTACTTCAGATTTTAATTTTTGATCTTATCCCAGGCTGACAATAGTCAGTGTGATGCTCTCTGGTTGCTGGACAGCAGCAGGGATCCACAGCTCCCTACCAGCCATACAATCACGAGGGCAAATAATCCGTACTTCAYAATGTACTGCATTGCTAAGCTAGGACGTTTGGTGTATCTGGTGTATTCAGTGCATTTTGACTTATGATATTTTCAACTTATGATGAGTTCATCAGGATGTGACCCATTGTAAGTCAAGAAACATCTGTATAGCAAAGGGATAGAGATGGGAAACTGGAAGATCAGTTTTGTTTRACTTTAGTAGAAAACATATACTGCTAAGTGACTTATAATATGGAGTTGATCACACATTCCTGATTATCCTGCTCTTTAATTATTTCATAAATATTAGCCTTTYTTGAAAGAGGAAACTTGGGGACCTGGGTTGGGATTCTACTTAGGGATGTTGTGGTCAAGGACAGAGAGAAGGGAAGTACCAGGTGGGGTGCTGGCATTTCCCTAGAACCCACAGATGGTAAGGAATGGTTTTCCCAT